CCTGCCATAAGCTCCAGGAGACGCAGCTCAATAACTCGTAAGAAATTTTTATTCTCAAAACTGAGGGACTGTTTGTCATTTGTTCCTGGTCCTAATAAAACAATTTTCATGCGTCTTGTGCTGTAACAGTTGCAAAAAACGCATGATGCTAAATCCCTGCCTGCGTACTCAAGTGTCTTTTGCTCATGGTTTTCAAATCAAGAACCAGAAAAGCTAGGAAGCTACAACTTTAGTTCGGTTCCCTGCCTACGTGCGATCCTCCAAATTCAAATTCAGCCTTCATAAATGCTTCACATACGACCATGTAAAAATTTGGACGGAGAAACCGTTGACATTGGAACCACAAAAGTCAGGAAGCTGAAACTGAGAGGATGCTCCCCGTGCAAGTACAGTCCAAAGGTTTCAGATTTGGTCTACACATATGCCTAGGTTTCACGTACGGACACATAAATTTTGACGCGAAAATTACTAGCTCAGGAGCCAAAGAATTCCGAAAACTGAAGCTTCAGAAAGGTATTTTCTACCTATGCGGAATTTTACAAACTCGCATTAGCTTCCACATACGGGCACGCGAAAGTTTAGGCGGAAAATATTATGATCCGGAAGCCAGACAGAACAGAAAGTCGGAATACAGAGCACTGTTTCCTGTTGATACGCAGTCCTGGAATTCCAATTTAGCCTCCATGTCCACCGCCTAAATCTTACGCATGGGCATGCAAAATCCCACATGGTAAATTTCAAGTTCGAAACCAAACGAGAGCTAAAATTTTCGAAGGATGTTTTCTGTTCGTATACAATCTCACGAATTTAAATTCACCCCAAATGTACTAGCATGTGAAATTTTTGACAGGAAATTCTGCAGCTTAGGCACCGGACAGCACACTGACTATTTCTGCACATACTAAAGTGAAAACTCTCAACAGCGAACGGCCGCTGGATGAAAATACGCAAGAAGCATGACCTCGCGCCGCTATTTATTTTCCCGTTTAGCGGTACAGGCCGCTCAACTGGTCAATTCCACTGTCGCAGGTACCATTTACCAATAAGAGATATAAGTTAGCCGGCAGTGTCCGACATTTCCAGTAAACGACTAAAAAAGCAAGTAAAACTGCAAGCCGAACCATTAGCATCTGCCTTCTGTTCGATACTCGAAGAATTCCACCTCTTGATCGCGCTGAGTTGCAACTGCTCTTGCAAATTTGGTGGCAACATTGGAGTCGTTTGTTGCAACAGCGATGGAAACAGCCAAGGATTCCACTGCAGCAGCGGGGCTGGCACTAAACAATTTAGAATGGTATGACAATGTGCAAATTTTTGGAGAGCGAGATTATGCACCTACTGAGCAGCATTCAAAAAAGATTCAACAGGAAGGCACAAGAAGTAAAATCAGCGCTCGATTCTGTTTCCAGTTCAGCGTAGTTCCATCCTGCAACTAATTATCACAGTTTTCCCTCACTGGCTGCAACCATTAGTTTATGACCACAGTGAGAATCCCGCAGCATCACTTCTAACGCATCATCCATTCCGATAGCACCTACACTCTTCCGGGGATAGCTTCTTTTTCGAACAGTGCGCAATTAAGCTGTCGCAAAAAACAGATCATTTTTATGGTTACTGGGATGCCGACAAGTAAAATAATTGGCCAACGCACGGACTGCCCGTGCGAAGATGCGTTTTTTGTATAGTCCCCCCTACTTTTTGTCGCTACCGGCATCGGTTTTTCCGGCGAATGCTTCTAGCTAAACAAATTAGGACTGTCCGTCGGAACTGGCAGGAAGCATCCCTTAAAATCCCAGCTTTCTAGCTTTCCTGGCTTCTGAGTTAGCAACTTACTAAAAAAAACTTTCACGGGCCCGCACGCGGTTACCACGCATACACGATGTCTGGGTTTGAGCTCGTTGAGACTTACTTGGATGGGAAGCATCTTCTTAAAACTACAGTCTTTTAGCTTTTCAGATTCTCGAGTTATGAA